ATTACTATATTATACTATACCACTATACTGTAATATTATTATAATAATAAAACTTTGTTTGTATTCCACTCTATCTCCCCAAAGGGACTCAGGGTGGATTCCAAGCATAAATGGCAAACATTCAATGCCTGAATACAACAGCAATACATCCATACTAACAAAATGTAAACAGCCCAACATGTAAACACGAATTATAATGTAACAACTAAAATTAAAAACACAGCCTGTTATAACAGACATAAAACAAAATATTAATATTACATGTAATATATAATTAATAATTTATATTATATTATTGTATTACTAGTAGTATTATATTATATTACATTATAATATTATTATCAATATTATATGTATATACAATATATTATACTATTAGTATAGCACAATATTAGTATTGTTGCTGGGGAGAAGGGCCCCCAACTGATAGCATCTTTACCTTTATGTGACAGCTAGAATCATAGAATCATAGAGTTGGAAGAGACCATGTAGGCCATCCAGTCCAACCCCCTGCCAAGAAGCAGGAAAATTGCATACAAAGAACCCCTGACAGATGGCCATCCAGCCTCTGCTTAAAAGCCTCCCAAGAAGGAGCCTCCACCACAATCCGGGGCAGAGAGTTCCACTGCTGAACCGCTCAAAATAGTCAGGAAGTTCTTCCTAATGTTCAGGTGGAATCTCCTTTCCCATAGTTTAAAGCCATTGCTTGCATGCTTGTCTCCAGGGCAGCAGAAAACAAACTTGCTCCCTCCTCCCTATGTCTTCTTCTCACATATTTATACATGACCATCATGTCTCCTCTCAGCCTTCTCTTCTGCAGGCTAAAGATGCCCAGCTCTTCAATCCGCCTCTCATAGAGCTTGTTCTCCAGACCCTTGGTCATTTTAGACACCCTCCTCTGACGCATTCCAACTTGTCAAGATCTCCCTTCAATTGTGATGCCCAGAATTGGACATGTATTCCAGGTGTGGTCTGACTAAGGCAGAATAAAGAGGTAGCATGACTTCCCTGGATCTAGACACTAGACTCTTATTTATGTAGGGCAAAATCCCTAAACCTTCAATGTTTAATCAGAATTTTAATTGGTCAGCATTGTAACATTGACAGTATTGGGATTTTAATTGGGATTGTAAGTGTATTACAAAATGGACCTGCTTACATTAAAATCCAAATGAAATTTAGCTCAACCCTGCCCTCCAACTATCCCTAATGCCACGCAAAAGCTTTGCATCAGAGTCCAAAGATCCCTGAAATGGGGGATTTAGAAATATAGAAAACCAGTTGGATTTGTTCCTTGCACGAGAGCCTTTTTGCCAGCATAAGTCACCTTTGGATCCATGGCGACAGATGTTTCCCAGTGTCATGAAATCTACCTTTCAGTCGACTAGGCCGAAGCCTGCATGACAGTGGCTGTCATCTTGGAAGGCAGGCAGGACAGGAGGAGGAGTCAAGCCGACTCCTGATTGGGTATAGCAATTGGGGGAGGAGTCGGTTGAGAGAGGAAAATAAGCTGTCAGCTTTTGACAGAGAGGGGGAGAAGTGTTTTGACAAGGGAGAGAGAAGGGATTTTTAGGAGAGGAAGCTAGATAGAGCAGGGATCTGACAGAAAAGGAAGAGCTTTTAGTGAGCCTTAAGTTTAGGGAATAGGCTGAGACAAAGGCTAGGATTTTACTGTGTTGTGGGAGCCAGTAAAAGAAAGATTTGTCTCCTTATACTTGGGATAGTATAAGGGAGCTTACTGCCCTGTGGTGGAGACAGATAGGAGTCTGTTCTCCAGTTGACACTGTTTCTAAGGATAGAGCAGTGTGTTTTAGGGAACTCACAATTTTAAAGGCTTTTCTGTCAGGGGAACTATTTGTTTAAGTAACCAAGTTTCTGCAACTGAATCACGCTTCTGTACCACTCTTTCCTATGAGTTGTTGTTAATATAACGTTCAATAAACTCTTTCTAGTTAACTTTTAACTGGTGTATGCCTCAATCTATCCATTTCCTCAGAACTCACTCTGTCGAACCATTTTAAAGTCCAGTCATCCAGTGAAGAAACAATAGAAGAATTAAGAGCTCAGACACCCCTTACCTATAACACATTCACACCTTTGGTTCCTCAGGCCAATAATTCTGAGGTGGTGGCGGTTTATACTACCGAGAACATTCAGTCATTTATAATATTTTATTCTCTCTTGCCTTGAGGGGCAGAGGTGGAATTGATTGTTTGTCCACCCTGCCCAGACAGCCTTTAACTTCGCTATACCCAGCCATCCAGAAACTGACTCTGTGGCTTTTTCATTTTGTTTCTCAGTCCTTATAATTATCAGATTTCACATTGAGTCTGTAATCCTAGGTACATTGTCCTTGCAGTCAGTCTATATTACTGTGGGATTTACTTCTAAATGAAGACATGAGGGAATGTTTTGTGACCATTATTTATTTATTCAATGGTATCAGCTCACAGCAAAGATAAAACAAAATATAGGTAAAATACAGTGATTATAATAAACATTTTAAAAAATCAGCAACATGAATATAAAACAGTTTAAAGTGCAGTGGGTTAAACTGCCGAGCTGCTAAACTTGCTGACCAAAAGGGTGCAGGTTCAAATCTGGCGATCAGTGTGAGCTCCAGCTTCTGCCAACCTAACAGTTAAAAAACATGCAAATGTGAGTAGATGAATAGGTACCGCTCCAGCGGGAAGATAGCAGCACTTCATGCAGTCATGCTGGCCACATAACCTTGGAGGTATCTACGGACAATACTGGCTCTTTGGCTTAGAAATGGAGATGAGTACCAATTGTCAGAGTTGGACACAATTGGACTTAATGTCAGGGGAAAACCTTTACTATTACCTAAAGGCATTTAAAACAGCATTAAAATAAAAATATAGTGTCCATGGGTGCACACACACACATATATGCATATATATATAAGACACTTCTGCAACAACCCGTTATTCATGGATAACTATTCAAATAAAAAGATATTTGCCTATTGCTGGATATAAAGCAGATGCAGGGCAGGGCAGCCTAATCTCTCTTGGAAGATAATTTCACTGCCTGGAAGCAGCCATTGAGAAAGCCCTTACCAAATACACCTATGGCAGGGAGAGGAAGGAAAAAAGGCTTCCCTCGAAGGGCTTAAACTCAGCAAACTCACATTGGAAAATGTAGTCTTTCTGATAGTCTGGACCCAAGCAATATATCATCTATATCATCTCTTTCATTTGTGCCCCTCTACCCAAACCAAACGGATCGCCAAGATTAGGCTCTCCCTTGAACCCTGATGATTTTGCATTTAATGTCCTTCAGGGACATTAAAACAATGTGACATTTTCTTTAGCATGGGCAGTTGTGTTTCAAAGATTGGAGCATTAACCTTTATCTCAGCTGCAGATATACCGATAGCAAATGCCTCCAATCTGTGTCCCCAGTCACTAGCTGGGAGAACTAATTATTTTGCTTGCAAGAGTGCTATGGAGGTTGAAAGTTGAAAAGACAGGGAGCACAAAACATAATGCTACAAATGCTATGTATTGGAAGCTCTGCTGTTTTGTACGTGGTTTACACACGGACACCTGACATGGTTAACTATTCAGAGACTGGGGATTGTATAATTCCAATTAGATATAAATCTGGAGGTTTTTTTGGCTAGTGACTGATATGGTTGTTTGCGTATATGTATGACTGTGTATCATCTTTGGTATAGGAAGACCACACACATATAGGTAGGTCCCGTATTGGCTTGCAGCCATGATCCTCGTATTAAGAACTGAAATCATGGAGTGTCTGGGCCTCTTTTACAGGAACTTGAGGTGAGCAGTCATTGTAATGATTTAATCTGTATCGTGCTTAACAGAACAACAAGCTGAGCATCTTCACAAACAAATCCTTATGCCCAATATGTATGCCAGGCAAACAGTTCCATTCCTGTCAAAGGCTTTCATGACAGAAATCACTGGGTCGCTGTGAATTTTCCAGGCTATATGACCATGTTCCAGAAGCATTCTCTCCTGGCTGTTCAACCACATCTATGGCAGGCATCCTCAGAGGTCGAGGGGTCTGTTGGAAACCAGGCAAGTGAGATTTATATATCTGTGGAATGTCCAGGGTGGGAGAAAGAAATCTTGTTTGCATGAGGCAATTGTAAATTTGCAATTGGCTACATTGATTAGCATTAAATGTCCTTGCAGCTTCAAAGCCTGAGTGATTACTGCCTGGGGGGATCCTTTGCTGGGAGGTATTAGCTGGCCCTGATTGATTCTTGTCTGGAATTCCCCTGCTTTTTGAGTGTTGCTCTTTATTTACTGTCCTGATTTTAAAGTTTTGTTAATACTGGTAGCCAAGTTTTGTTCATTTTCATGGTTTCCTTCTTTCTGTTTGATGTCCACAGGTTTGTGGATTTCAATGGCCTCTCTGTGTAGTCTGACATAGTAGTTGTTAGAGTGGTCCAACATTTCTGTGTTTGCCAGGCAGCAACCAACCAGGCTTTGAACCTGCAAGGCCATTCAGTGCTAATCAAGGTGGCCAATTGCAACATTCATACTTGCTTCAAGCAAACAAGAGTTCTTTCTCCCACCCTAGACATTCCACAGATAGATAAATCTCACTTGTCTAGTTTCCAACAGACCCCTCAATCTCTGAGGATGCCTGCCATAGAAGTGGCTAAAGCATCAGGAGAGAATGCTTCTGAAACATGGCCATACAGCCTGAAAAACTCACAGCAACCCAGTTCAATTCCTGCTTTTTTATAAAACACAACTCTTCCAGGTTTAATTTAATTGGACATTTTTCTCATTTGATTTAGATCCAAATTATGCTAAGCATGAATTCAGTGGATGTTTGTCAGTGATTAGCTATTTTTGTTGTTTGGTCAGCTTCATAAACATATTGCTCTAGTTTTGTGAAAGTTGATTATCCCTCAGGTCTGACTGAACATTGATGTATATATAAATGCCTTGCTTAATGTGGATGATTTGTGTTAGTGATTTTGTAATATTGTTTCTTAGACCAGTTCAGAGTCTCTCTTGGATCCTCAGCAAGCCCAAGCTTTTGACCAGCTTTGCTGCCTGTACCGAGGAACCTCCAGGGTAAAGTTATGCTTTAACTTGTAATCAAAACATAGTGACTAACTTTGATGTGCATCTTTTAACAGAACTATTTAAAATTATCTCAGGGATCATTGTATTTTCCTTGGAAGACAGGGACAAAGTTCAGTTCAGTTCTTGATCCTTTAGAGCAGGGTTCTCAACCTGTGGGGGTCACCAAATGTTTTGGCCTTCAACCCTCAGAAATCCGAACAGCTGGTAAACTGGCTGGGATTTCTGGGAGTTGTAAGACAAAAGACCTGGGGACCCACAGGTTGAGAACTACTGCTTTAGAATGTATGCCTCCCTTGTCAAGTTCCCTAGAAGACCCCATTGCAATCAATATATTTAGTATTGAAAGAGTTGTAACTGTTAAAATTCCTTTTATGGGGTAATTAATTTACTGTTGCCTGCCTCTTGGGTTAGTGTTTATATTGTCAACATTACATAATTTTCTTGCATGCTGTAATATAACCATAATGTAGCAAGAAGTATTCTTGATGCCACGAGAATGTGCTACAAGAATGTGAATGTCTATTATTGTTGTTTTAAATTGTTATTTTATGATGTTTTATACTTATTATCAATGTAATTTGGATTGTTGTTTACATGATTTTAATATGTTGTAACGCGCTTGGGGTCCCATAAGGGAAAAAAGCAGGATATAAATAAAGAAGTAGTATTATTTGAAACACAACAAGATTAGTACACAGCAAACAAAATCACTATGCTGGTTGTATTGGATCACACGTCAGACACTCCCCAAGTGTCTAGGACTGTGTGATGTATCGGCAAATAATGTGTGCAGATCCCAGTAGGGTGGCCTTTTCAGCTAACAGATGGTAATTTTGTCAGTGCCGATTGTGTTTAAGTGCAGGCCAAGGTCTTTAGGTACTGCACCCAGTGGGACCACCTTGGCTGGCTTGTGCCAGAGTCTTTGCAGAGTCATTATTATTGGAAACACAACAAAATGAATCCACAGCTGGCTGTTGTATTGGATCACATGTCGGGTACTTCCCAAGTGTCTAGGACTGTGTGATGTATCAGCGAATAATGCATGCAGATCCGGTAGGGTAACCTTTTGCAGCTAGCAGATGGTAATCTTGTCGGCACCAATTGTGTTTAAGTGCAGGCCAGGGTCTTTAGGCACTGCACCCAGTGTGCCAATTATTATTATTATTATTATTATTATTATTATTTTATTTTGCAGTTGGCTCTTCTGACTGAACTTTCTCGAGATCGTGGAGGTGAAAAACATGGGCTTCTCCATATCTCCCAGGGTGATTCTGCTCTGAATAATGTCTTCCAGAATGAGACCTTCCAGCTTCACCTCACACCACCTCCTCCTCTTCTGGATGACTAATTTCTTCTAGAATGAGAACACCATGAAAAGTACTTGGAGGTGCTCTGCTACTCAATGCCCTGATGATGGAAATGGCTCAGAGGGCTTCATTTTGAACAAAGCAGACAGGACATTGCCACAATGCAGAGTCTTGGCAGGGATCGGCTTTTTTTTTTCCCTTTTCTTTTTGTGATTTGTTCAACAAAGCAGAAGGAACATTTTAAAAAGTGGCTGGGCCTTCTTTCCGGTAGGCTTTGCTGAAAGCTATCAACTACTCTGTTAAACCTATGGTGTTCCTTGCTGGAGCTGAACACAACAGTACTCGGGGCAACTGTACTAAACCCCAGGGATAGCGAGTCTGCAACAAGACCTTATTTACATAATTGGAGTCTGTTCCCTTAGAGAAGAGTACCAAGGGAATACAACAAATGTCACTAATCTAAAGTTGACATTTCTCAGGCTTCCTTTAACTATCTCATTTAAATTTAGCACAAGCAGTGGAACCCTACAGTTAGAGTATGAATGCAGAATGTGCAGCTAAGCTAAATGAGGCAGAGCTGCCAAGGACGGCCCGTTTGTCAAAACTCTTGTGAGAGTCTTTCTCTAGCATTCCTCCTCTGATTTCAGTCATCCTAATAAGTGGTGTATGTTAGCCTCCGTGATAGTGATTCAGGAAAGTTCACTGTGACAGGTCCTATTCTAGGAAAATGCCACTTCTCAGTCTCAGAAATCCTGCTAACAAAACACACTGGAATATGCTGTTCGGCCAACTAGACAATGGCAAATATTTGGTGCCAGCTTCTGAAGCCTGCGCGAGCCCAGTGCCAGCATTTCCACAGTGATCTCACTGTTTCTCATGTAGCAAAATAAAACAGCACATTCATCATTTATGATGGTAGCTGCTGCTGCTAAGTCTCTAAGCTGCATGGAAAGAACATCCCCTTTCATTGCGTCTTGCTACCACCCTAGTCCATTTATCTGTAATGAACTTTGTAGTGAATTAAAAGAAGGCATTCAGATGGTTGTCAGTGTTCTTTCCATTCTCTCCCCCTCTCCCTTTCCCCCCTCGCTCTGACTCCTGTGCAGAAAATTAACAACCTGCTATTTAGGAATGGAAGGCAAATGGCTCCTGACTCCTTCATAATATAGCAAAATTGCCCATCAGCATCCTGTTTAATGCACATACATCTCCAAAAACTGGCATTCGGCATCTTTCCTTGCCTGCTCCAGGGAACTTGCTGTTGTCATGATATTTGTAAATAAATGTAAGAAGTGTGGATGAAGAGATTCATGAAGAACAACAGATCCCACCCTGCATCTTTGCTACAGAATGTGGAATCAATCTTTGGTCATATTCTATGCTGAACTCTTTGTATTTTCTTATTTAGTATTCCAAAACAGTGATTTTTCTAAGAACATTTTTGCATCATTGATGGTGCAGACATTTCCATTAATGATCTTTCTTTTCCATGTCAGGAGCGACTTGAGAAACTGCAAGTCGCTTCTGGTGTGAGAGAATTGGCCATCTGCGAGGAGGTTGCCCAGGGGACACCCAGATGTTTTATCATCCTGTGGGAAGCTTCTCACATGTCCATGAGAAGCTGGAGCTGACAGATGGGAGCTCACCCCACTCCCTAGACTTGAACCACTGACATTTCAGTCAGCAGTCCTGCTGGCACAAGTGTTTAACCCATTGCGCCAATGGGGGCTCCATTAATGACCCTGATGGAAGCCTTGTGTTGTAAGCCATTGGTTCTTTTTCCCTACCTTATGCAACTGGTGCTTATAAAAAATGACAGAGCATTGTGACTTTTCATTATACTCAAACCCCCATAAACTGATGCCCTGGTATCCCAGGGGGGTTGGGAAATGAAAAATATGAAACTTGCCATGTTAGAAGAAGTGGTTTCAGGGACAGAGCATCTATTGTGTTTAAGTGAGCCAGAGATTTGATCTGGGGAAGAGCCAGCAGCTGCTATCTTTGTATATCTGCAACCCCAGTTCCTGGAGCTTGGCTAAGAGGCAGCAAGGCCAACAGGCATTTTGTATAGGTGTTTAGTGAAAGAGTTTTCAGGTGAGACCTGGATTTCTATTTCAGTGCCTATTTAAGATTACGAAATACAGATGGCGAAGGAGTTACTGCAATACTATGTGTTTTTGCCATAGGATGTCAGTAATTATACCTGCAGCATGTGCAACTCGGGGCCCTCCCACACAGCCATATAACCCAGAATATCAAGGCAGAAAATCCCACAACATCTGCTTTGAACTGGGTTATCGGAGTCCAGACTGTCATATATTCCAATTCAAAGCAGAAAATGTGGGATTTTATTCAGTTGTGTGGAAGGGGCCTTGGTTGCCCTATTGGAAGAAAAGGTTTAGCAACTTGAGGCCCATGTACTATTCAGCATATTAGGAGGCATGAAATTTTATTGGAAATAGTAGATTGTCCTGGATGAGGAACACTCGGGATCTATCTGAGGAGGCAAGTTCCAATACACATGAGGTAGATACTTGGAGGAATGTGACATAAAGAAGTTAGAAGGCCAAGGATCATTGTGTGAGTTCAGAGCTACAGATTCAGTTTGAAGCTCTCTCCATCTTCAGTGATGATGAGGAATAGTAACAAGAACAACAGTGTCAACCCTCAAAAAATGTCCTGATATTTGCTGGAAGACCAACTCTGCCATAAGAACATCAGGTCCAACATATTCTTCACCTGCCTTGTGGATGATTTCATTGTCCAGAAGATGGAAAGGGCAACAAAGGAGTCAGCTATTTTAGATCTGATGTAACATCAGTGATGACCTGTTGGTTACATGGGATGGAAGTGTATGGGATGAAAGTGTAGTCTCCATGTTCTCCTTGTTATCCCGCAGCCAAGCATAGTCAGACATGCATTTTAGACTTTAAGAAATCTCACATCAGTAAACCTAGGGAAATACCGGGTTGGAAATACTACAATACTAAAATAAGAGAATTCATGATAGATGAATTAAAAGTGAGATATGAAAAACACAATTTCAAACAGTCCCACTGAGGAGGGAACTGAAAGTTCTTTAAACACCCATCCTGGTTTCCTTAAATATCCTCCTGAGCTAACTTTTAAAAGGTGCATGTACCAGAAAGGAAAATCCAGTTGAAAGAGAGAAAGCCAGAAAAATTAAAGAAGAGAATGAGCTGAGGTTTGCTAAACAAAAAAGTTTTTTATATGCTCATAGCAAATAAAATAAAATAAAATAAAATCTAGAGCTACTGCATGGAGAAGATGGGACAGAGAAACAACAGAACTTCTTAATATCTTCATTGTTTTAGTCTTTGGGCCTTTCCAGACAGGCCCTATATCCCAGGATCCCATCCCAGGTTTTCTGCTTTAAACTGGATTATATGAGTTCGCACTGCCAGATAACCTGGAATAAATAGAAAACCTGGATCAGAACCTGGGATATAGGCCTGTCTGGAATGTCCCTTCTTCCTAAAGGAAAACAGTGTTTAATCTGGGTAAAACAGAACATATGATGTAATAGGAGGAATGCAACACAGAATAGTTAAAAATACTACAGGGATTCCTACCTACTCTAAATAAATTCAAGTCTCCACGGACAGATTAAGTATATCCAAAGGTTTTTAAAGAATTGGCAGAACTAATCTCAGAACCAACGGCAATAATCTTTGAACATTCTTGAAGAACAGAAGTCCTGGCAGATGTCTCCATTTTCAAAAAAAGGGGGTGGGGAGATGGCTCAATTACTATCAAAATGGTAAAAGGTCTGGAAATCATACCATATGAGGAACGGTTTCGGCAGCTGAATGTACTTAACTTGGAGAAGAGAAGGTTAAGAGGTGTTTTGATAATCATATTTAAATATTTGGAAGGGTGTCATATTGAAGATATGTTTTCTGTTGCTCCAAAAACTAGGACTTAGAGCAGTTGAACCAAACTACGCAAATTGAGATTCCAGCTAAACATTAGGGGGAACTGGTAAGAGCTTTGTGACAGTGCAACACACTGTTTTAGAATGCGGCAGAGTCTCCTCCTCTGTGGGTTTTAAACAAAAGCTGGATGGCCATCTGTCAGGAATGCCTTGATTGTGATAGCGGTTGGACTGGATTGTTCTTGTGGTCTCTTCCAACTCTATGATGCTATGGAACTGAGTTTCAAAACCAGAAGGAATCGGGCATAATAGGAACTATTAGATAAACAATTGGCTGCCATAGTTCACAATTTTAACATAAAGCAAAAACGTTTTTAAAAATCTCTAACCCCCAAAATCCCCATACTTTTAAGATTGTTAGAACTATTTTGTGTGTAGTGCTCTTTTTATTGTTTGATACTTAGGAATGATGGTGCTGAGTGCGTACCATAGTATATAATAATACTTAACTGACTCCCCTTTATTGGAACTACTCCTTAAATGGTTGCCTTGAACAAGTTGCAACAGTGCTAAAATAGCAAAGTGAAATATGCAGTGATGAAAGTCATCCATGCACCTGCACATTACTCAAAGTGGGGTATATATTTTTCATTGTACAAAATAAGGGAAGTTACGTGGATACAATTACATTAATTCAAAACATTTCATGATGTTTGATTACCGCGGACAAAGAAAATTAGGTATTGATTTTTCCTGGCTTCATCCTTTTCCCTTAGATACGGTTACACCTACTTAAATAAATGTTCAACTTCTTCCTTGATTACAAAGAAATTGAAAAGTGGCCATGATAATACTATGAATACATCATTTTCTTGTGCCCAAATATAAGTATAAATATGTATGAACACTTCTGCTGCCGCTGCATTATTAACAATATGAATTGACACTTCTTAAGTTATTCCATGCCTAATATAATCAAGCGAGAGTACTTAAAACAGGCGATTGCAGACTTTGAAAGGAAGAAAAGGGAAATAAGCTTATGGTAAAGAGACTGTCACAATCTCAATCAACAGTTGTTAGCACGGTAGAAAGAAAGATATCTGTAATGGATATTTTAGAACAGACTGTCCGCTATTACAATGCTATTATGGAAATCTGCAATGCAACAATACCTCAAATTTTGGTTACAAGTTGCAAACATGGAGCAGTGGAAAATAATAACTAAAATGGTTAGGTGGCTGGATTGGTAGGAAAAACAATTCTCCTAGTTTGCTGTGTGTTTTCCGGGCTGTAGGGCCATGTTCCAGAAGCATTCTCTCCTGATGTTTCACCCACATCTATGGCAGGCATCCTCAAAGGTTGTGAAGTCTTCCAATTCTCACAATTCCTAACAACCTAATAGACCCCACAACCTCCGAGGATGCCTGCCATAGATGTGGGAAGATCATCAGTGGGAAGATCATCAGGACTTCCGGGAGAGCATGGCGGCATGAAGGCAGCGTCCGAAAGAGGCTGCTTGCAAGGTATTTAGCCAGATGAATACTGAATTCTGTATTCTCCCAACTTCTCTCTGAGCTAAGAGAGAATCAGAGGGGCTTCGCACAGCTTTCATCTGGTGTCGATATTTATGACCCTTGTCTCCTAAATCAAGGAGCAATTAGCGAAACCGGAGAGGCTGAGAAGCGTCCAAGGCTATTTACTTTGCTGCCTTGCCTATATGGCAAAAACGCCGACCACATTTCTTTTTAAAACAACAAACTTTCTCTTTTTAAAACAACAAAAGAAGAGAAGAGATTCATGAAGCTTTATTAGTAAATGAGGGATGGTGTGTGGAGAGGAGTAGAGACAGCATGCTGTGAGTAAAAGACCACCGCCATCTTGGGGCCTTGTAAGGACATAAGAGCGTTCCCGAGCCACTGACTGCTGCTGCCGGATTATCTGCGGCTAATCCTCCCGCCTGAGCTATAGCCCACGAATACTGCAGAGCCTCTGACTTACCAGCGGGTCGGACGGCCTGTCTCCGTTGCGGCCTCCGTTGTGGCCCGTTTTCCACCGTTTGGGCCTGCGGTGCTGCTGCCCATCCTCTTCGCCGCCGCCCTTGCCGCGGCGGGCGGTCGTTGCTCCCAGTGGGGGGTCGCGGCT